GTGTTACTGTTACATGAGAAACTATCTGTTCTGTAAGCCTTCACCTGAAGTACAATAAAATATTTAAAAAAAAAAAAAAAAGGTTAATGATGCAGTTCTGTGTTGTGTCTCAGTTGTGGTGGGCACGCAGTAAATAAGCTGTGAAAGACGCACAGTCACTTATTCTAGAAGCGATTCCTCCTTGAAGCGTGTTCCTTGGTGGTGCTCATGGGGCACATGCCATCCTCTGTGGCCACATCTGGAACGGACGCCATGGGATGGGGGACTGATCGCACTCACCTCTTATGTTTCATAATGAGCCCAATGGAGTAGCAGACATCTCTGTGCTTCTCGTCAGAACGGAGCTTGACCTCCACGCCTACCTCCTCCTTTTTGCGCTCAATGTGTTCTAAAGTGTGCTGTACCAGATAGCCCACCGCCCCGTGCTGCCCGGGGTCGAGGGTTTGGATGTGCTGGAGGATGTCAAGCACCTTCAAGACAAGACAGAAAGACTAGGAGATAATATTTTCAGCTATGCCTTTTCTTTTTCACGGCCTGGGATTTAGGCCTACATAACCTGACAAAGGGCAGCGGGGGGCGGCCATGCTCGGAAGGCCTCTGGACAACCCGACAAGTCTCCCGTGACCATCCTTCAACTGATCCACCAAGTCAGTTCCACAGAAGCCTGGGGTACTGGGCCCACTTCTGAAACTGGAAACTGGACACCCAGGACACCCAACCATGTGAGCAGCAGTACTGATCTGAAAACGGCATGGGGCACTGGAATGAGCAGGTGAGGGTCTGTCATCTGCTAGCACTTCTGGGTTAGGTGAACTCTAGGTTCTAAAATTCTACATCAGTCATGGAATTGTGGGAATCTTTTTTTGTTAAATACAGAAAGAGAACAATTTTAACCTGCCACGCATGAATTGGGAGGAAAAACAAATGCTAAGCTGCTTCATTCAAGATCAATAGGACATTTTGACACAGCTGCCTCAGTGCTGGGTAAAAGGAAAAGAAAGGGTCACAGAGAGGGCATCAAAGCAATACAAATTGATTTAGTTTATGATGTTCCACTTGAGGAGCGAAGCCATGTGTATCCGGGCTGGTCATTTCAATTCACAATGGACTTCAATACTCAAGTAGGCAGTCGGAAAAGCCACATCTGTGTGGAACTTAAGCTACTCACTAGTGGGAGCAGGTCAGTCCGACTTCACCATTAGACTGTTTCTACTGTACATATTGCCTCTACAGAAAACTAAAAATTCAAAATAAATTTAAAAAAAAAAAAAGAGCCATGTAATTATTTAGCACTGGTAAGGAGCCCTGGTGGCCCAATGGTTTAGTACTTGACCACTGAACGAAAGGTTGGCCATTTGAATCCATCCTGTGGCTCCGAGGGAGAAAGACCTGGTGATCCACTCCCGTAAAGATTACAGCCTTGAAAACCCTTTTGGGCAGTTCTACTCTGTCACGTGGGGCCACTAGGAGTCGGAACTGCCTCAACGGCATCTGATGACAACTCCATGTTTACAGCACTTAGCAAAGGGTCTCGACAGGTTTCTGCTTTGAAAACGTGACTTCATCCTATATACCAAGTCCTAATAAACAGCATGCTTAGTGGATACAGAAACCTGGTTCCAGTCCCAGATCTGTCAAACCAGCTATTTTCACCTGTGAATCAGTTTCTTCCTTATTATGTGAGGATGAATAACTGCCCTACCTACTTACGGGTACACTCTGAGCCTGTAAAAGTGGGGAAAGTAAGTTTTATGCAACCTAAGACAGTATCATTCCCAACCGCAATCCTGCCTTCCAGATTGAGCTTTGCAGGACCTCAATATTAATGACTACTGACTCTCTTCTTCACTCTTTCCTCCCACCCTGAAGGTCAGCAAAGGAGCCAGTTTACAGAAGATGAATCAGGCTCAACCCAGGTTAGGTAACTTGCCCAAGGTCATGGGGCTGTGAGACGTGGAGTGAGGATTTGGACCCAGGTCTGACTCTAAGCCCTCGGTCTTAACTCTTAGTAGAAATATTTTTTATTAACTTTTTATAAGAAACTTCAAACACATAAAAATGGATAGAGTAGTACAACCTCAAGTATCCTAAATCCAGTTGCTAAAGTATAAAGTGATAGCCAATCCCCATTCCGTTTCCCCCGCCAATGGTGCACTTTTAATTTCAGAGACACTAACACATATCTTTTGTATCTAAAATGTATCTTTTGTAGTTAAAAACCTGGTATTTGAACAATAAGCTTCTATTTATTGTCTGCAGAATGGCCTTCTTCATGTTCCCTGTACAGTTCTAATTAGTTACTTTTCCCTATATCTCTGCTACATTCAACCTACACAGCTTCCCCTCCTTTCCCAGCACCCCCACATCAGATAAGTAAAAGAGACAAACTTTGGAGTCTTAAAAGCACAAAGAAAGCCTTGAGCTCAGTGTATCAAAGGGGGTGATAACGTTCAAGGAGAAATCCCTTACTCCCTTTGATGTGAGGCTGATGGGGGAAGGGAGAAGACAGAGAGAGAAGGTCCCGGGAGATGGGCCCGGTGTGTGCCCAAGAACAGTGTGGACAGCTGGGCGCCATGCTGCCTCCCATCTCTCTAGGCCTAGAATCCTGGGTCTCCGCAACTGTGGGGCAGCAATCTTAGAACAGGTGGTCTAGCCCAGAAAGCCCTTCCCTGTACTGCGTCTCTTCTTCTAGCCCAGGGGTTTTCAAACTTTTCTGTAAAGGTCCAGAGAGTGAATATTTTCAGTTTTGTGGGCCATACAGTTTCTGACTCAACTACTAAACTATGTTACTATAGCTCAAAGCAGCTGTAGGTGATATGTAAACAAATGGGCATGGAAGTCTTCCAACAAAACCCATATACAAAAACAGGTGCTTTTGGCCCGCAGGCCATAGTTTGCTGGCTCCTGCTCTGGTTTCCCCTAAGCCTCTGTCTACATTTAGAGTCACCTCTTCTACTTTTAGGGCTTCAGCTACCAGCTTCCATGATGGGGGTGGAGTCACTGCCAAATGTTACGGGACATCTGTAGGTGAGGGCTCCATATCACACCGAGCTCAGCATACTCTAAGCTGAGCACTTTCTCCTTCCCCGAAACAGTCCTGTCTCCAAATACCCACTTTTAAAGTGGTACAAGTAGTCCCCCTTGTTGGAAAGCCTGAATATCCTCTTTGAGCCTTCTCCCTTATTCATATCCAATGAAGTTGTCATTTCTTATTCATTCATTCAAAAAAAAATCTTAGAGCACCTACTGTGTGCCAGGAATTGTGCTGGGAGCGTGGGGAATAGCCACAGTAAAGGATGAAACAGATGTGGCCCCTGTCCTGAAGGAACATGCATCTAGTGGAGAAGGATGGTTGAACACACAGCTGTGATACACTCCCAAAAAGCCTTGTGAAAGGTAAAGGACAGGGAGGCACAGAGCACAGCTGGAGAACCCCACCTAGTGTGCAGGGGCCAGGGAAGGGTTTCAGAGGAGGCCAAAGTTGAAGCTGACGGCTCAGCAGGAGTTAGTTAGCCAGGTAAACGGAGGTGAGGGACAAGGAAATGTGTTCTAGGCAGAGCTGCAGCCGTGCAAAGGCCTGAAGCAAGAGGGCATGGGCGGACAGAAGATGTGGCTGTACAAAAGGGGCAATGGGAGAGGAGGAAGGCCAGACCACCAAGAATCTAGTCTGCCATACTGAAGGACATGAGCCTGATCCCAAGTCAACAGGGGAGCCACTGAGAGAGCTGTAAGCCTGAAGTAGCAAGATTAAATCGGCATTTTAAGTAAGACTGCTCTGGCCACAGTGCTCTAAGAATGAAGGGTAGGAGACCAAGTGGGAGCTCTATGCCATCATCGTGTACAGACCTGTAGGAGGCATTGGGCTCTATGGGCAAGAGATCAAAGATCTGGCAGCCATCAGCATACAGATGGTAACTGAAGCAAGGAGCACAGACGAGCTCACCTGGGGAAAAAAAGAAGTCTAGAAACTACCCTGGAGTCTACAGCCCCTAAGGGGAAGGCAAGGCGCCAGCAAGAGTGTGAGAACCACAGACAGAGGCAAAGGGACCGTTTTTGTGGAGGGAGTGGACCATGGCAGTCAAGAAAGATAAGGGAAAAAAACAATCTACTGGCTTTAGCAACAAGGAGAATGGTCTTAGCTCAAGGGGTCACTGGCGTCCTTGGCAGGAACAGTTCCAGTGAGGTGGGGTGGGAACTGGGCGGGGATGGATCACAGTGTTTCGGGCATAAGTGGGAGGTGGGCAGGGCAGTCCTCATGCATGGACACCATGTAAGAATTCAACTGCAGGGGAGGCGGATGGCAAGGGGGAGCCGGAGGGCAGTGAGGGCGGCGTGGGGAGGGGAGTCATGGGAGTGTTGGTTGGTTCTTCTCCCCCCAAAGATAGGGGAGACTTGAGTATGTTTAATGATGGCACTAAGACAACAGAAACAGGAAGTTGAAGATATAGGAAAAGAAATAAGGGAAAATGTAGTAGTCTAAGAAAAGGCAAGGGGGCTGGGATCCAGAGCACAAGGGGAAGAAAGGGTTGCCTTGGAAAATAAGAGAGGGCCCCCTTTCCACTGAAATGTAGAGAAAGACAGAAAGGATTACTAAGGATCCTAGTAAGTGTGCAGGCTTGGCAGCAGGAAGGAGGAAGAGGTCCTGTCTGCTGGCTTCCTCAGAAACAGCCCTGCCTTAGCCTGCTAGACCACTGGGGTGAACAATGGGGGGGCTCTAGTGTCAAGCTGCCTTGGCTGAACTCCAGGCACCACCATCTATGAGGCTGAGACCGGGGCAACGCAGTTAGTGTCTCTATATTTTACAAATTATCATGAAACACCTTAACAAATCCAAAAAACCAAAAGGTCACAGGAATTTGTGATCTGTATCTTGGGATCACAAATAGGTAGATAAAAAAAAAAAAAAAAAAAAAAAAAAAAAAAAAGAGAATGCATGATTACATCCTGGACAACAGAGCTCTAAGTAGGTGGTAACTTTAGCAGAGAGCCCAGTTGTTCACTCACACCTCTGCCAAATCACATGAATGTTCTGGAAGACGTGTGCTTTCTAAGCTACTTCTCACATCTCTCCTTCAGACGAGAGCCTAGGGATTCTCCCACAGACACTTCCTTTCTTAGAACTATTTTAGCTGGTTGAAGCTGTGAGTTAATGAGATGATTTACATCCAAGCAATGTAGAGTCACTGAGTTTACTTTCTCTTGGAAGATTTTACCAGGCTCTAATCACACGGGCAGATGATTTTATGGTAAAATCCCTGAGAGCTCAGAATGAAGCTCTATCCCCAAGCTGTTCTCCACAAACGCAATGATCAACAGGAGGAAAGCAAGGGCGGGGTAGCGACGTGCAGCTGGCTCTGCACAGCATTATCCTGCACAACCACGTGCACACATCTGCTGCGTCCCCAGCTCACCGATGAGCAGTTCTGAGCTCAGGTGTGTGGCCTTCTGGAAGCACTTGCTGCTGGCCAACGGGGCCATTATAAAAGGGAGAAAATTCATGTGGAAAGGTATCAAAATTCAATGGTTTCTAAAGACATAACCAGTCCTTAGCTAGTCCTGCAGCTGGACCTGAACACACTAAAATCTGTATTTTCCTTACGTGCTTACATATGGTCAACTGAGTTGCTGATGGCACGGCTGGGTGCTGAACATTTTAAACTCTGCTTCTTTTTGCCGAGTGAGGGTGACTCAGGGAAAACACATGTTTGGGGCCTCAGCTGGTGAGTGGGGAGGCGGAGGCTATGGCTTTCTGGTTCTGCAGTTCAAGGGGCCGAGCTTAATGAGAACAGACAGTTCCTGGCAGTATAACCAATTTTCATTAGAATTAAAGGAGACAGAACAAAATTTAATTGCTGGGTCAAGACTGGGAGACTTGAATACATGTGTGTTTATTCCCCATGTTAATACAAGGACAGACTTGGCTGCAGTAGCCAATGGCCGCCTTACAGTTTAGCAACAATCTATGAGTTCCCTCTCTAAGACAAGTGCAAAGCATCAAGGTAAGATAATTACCTTTTCTGGCCAGATTCCCAGGTGGAAGTAAAGCCTGGCTTGAAGGAGGAGAAGCTGTACCTGGTCCGGGTACATTGCCAGGTACAGATCCAAGGAGTCCCTCAGGAGCTGGTAGGACTGATCGATGCCTTCCCTGGCAGGGCAAGAGGAATCTTTGTCTTAGCCTGTTTGCTTTTTAGCCAAGACCTTCTTTTTCAAGGCCTGAATTATAAAGATAATTGACACAGATACCAAAAGTTTTGATTTGGATACTTCCTCTAAGACTCTGTTCAGCAAACAGTTAAAATGCTCTTTAAAAAAACACACACACACAATAAAATATAAATCTTGTACCCCACTTTGGTGATGGGCACTAAATTAAAACATTAAGAGATTTCACTTAAGTAGTTGCCTCAATACCACTCTACATAATTAAAAATGAATGCTGATGGCAGAAAACTATTACTACAAATCTTTCTATTTCTCTTTTAGGCCAAATTTCCTTGGAATTGGAAGCAAGACCGTTTCAGATTTTTATTATTTGTGTTTATCTACGTGATAGAAAGGTATGAATCAAAAGATGACAAAGCACTGGACATGAGGTCATCCTGCCTCCTAAAACTAACCTTTGCTAGCCTAAGAGATTCTTGTTAGTGAAGAATGCTTTTAGTATTTACACAGAAGAGAACCTAAGTCCACTGCAACGATCTCAAAGAAGTCACTCGGTACATCTCACTTTGTACAGCATTATGCCACTGGAAACAGGTATTTTCCATGGTGGGTAGACAGCTGTAGACATCCCAAATGTGCTACCCAGCATCTGCTGATCTGCTGTATTGTGGGGTAGCTCATGAAATAACATTCTCTGTAAGACCACTGAAGCCTCCGATGATGCCCTCTGCGGAAGTGTTAGAAAACCAAGAGCGCTCACCGCTTTCCCAGGCTCAGCAAGTTTCCCACCATTCGCTGCAGCACCTTCTTGACATTGACCACCCCATACAAGGCTGCGGTCACATGCTGGCCGATCAAGTATTCACATTCTTTCACTGTCAGCTGCTTGCCTTTCCCAAAAGCATCGATGTAGATGTAGTCAAAGATGTCCAGTGTCGCCCTATCCAAAGTGCACAGTTAGGGAAGTCTTAGGGTGGAGCTGAATAAGCCAGTATTTTAAATCCCTCTAGCAAGTAGCTCAATCCAAAGGCTCTGGAAACAGTACCATTTCTACTGAAAATAACAAGGTCTTGTGCAAAGTTTAGAATCTGACCCTTTACATATGCTCTGCTGGGGAAAGACCAGAGGTTCATGGGCATTTAAGAAACAGTGCTGACGTGTGCATATCCAATGTAGTCTTCTTAGGGAGATAGATTTAAAACTCAGTGCCAGGAGTATCCATCAGAAGTTGAGTTGAGAGAACTATTTATGGAATGCCTACAGCAGGCTACAAATCCACAGATCAGCAGCAGGTAACTGTCTCTGGATCCTGGGCCCATCTGAGGGCCTGAAGGATTCTACACTGAGGTCTTGCAGACACGCTCAGTTCAGATAGTCAGAGACCTGCTGTGGCCCATCTATGGACCTGGGTTAAGAACCCTCTCTAGACCACAGAAGGGCTGCGCACCCAGGCTCGATCCCACTGCCCGCCCCGGAACTGCTTTCTGCAAACCATGCTCTCATACACTGTGGCTGACCCGCGCTAAGCAGAGCAGAAACACACGATCATGTGAAGTAAGCTCTCACTGCATTAACAGATAGGCTCTCTACAAGGGCTAATGGACTAAGGGCTTAGCTGGGTCTTTGTTTCAGAGACAGCTGTGTTTCTTTTGAGTGACTGTTTTCCTTTGATCTTAAGTTCACAGTAAATCATGTAAACTTCTCTCACTGCCAAAAAACCCTCCATATTTTATGCTTAAGTCACGTTTATAGCCCACCTTTAGTAAAGGTGTTAAGACTTACACAAACAGTTCTAGAAATAAAGAATGCTCTTCAACTTTATGAGGCTAGGATAACCTTCCAAGGATACTTAAAAAAATTACAGGCCAAGATCATTTATGAGCATAATGCAGAAATTCTGAATATGGGCAAATCAAAGGCAAGAATGTATGTATGTATGTATTTAAATAAATAAATAAATATATGAATGATTAAGTTACATGCACCCCAAGAAAAGATAGCTGAACATTTAAAAAAATCTATTTTAGCACATACAGAGTAAAAGAAAAACCAGTGATTACCTCAATAGATACAAAAATTTTGGAAAAAAAAAATTTAATAGTTATTAATAAAACTCATAGCAAACTTAGGAATTTAGAGAGCAGCTTTAATAACTCCGATGAAAGGTACTGGCCCCAAACACCATGTTTCACAGTAAATGTTAAAAGCCTTCCATTTAGTCATAAGGCAATGGTGCCATTTAAAGTCATACACAAGACAAGGGTGCCCACTACCACTGTTTCTATTCAACTTTGTACAAGGGGACCCAGCCAGTAGAGTAAGATAAAGAAACAAAAACATGTAAGTACCAGAAACCAAGAAGAAACAAAATTGTCATTGTTCACAGGAAATATAATTGTCTACAAAGAAAAACCAAGAGTTGACAAATTATTAGCATTAATAATCTATCCAGCAAAGTGCTATCAGACCTCTGTCTAAATGTCAACCGCATCCTTGTGTACCACCTATATTTACAAAATGTTTAATTTAAAACATTACTATCTACAATGGCAACAAAAAATTTAAGATAACTAGGAATAAATTTAGCAAGGTATCAAAGATGAAGAAAATGATAAAATCTTTACAAAGGACATTAAAGAAGATCTCTCTCTCTCTCCTTTGTGTGTGCGTGAAGAGAGAGAGATTTTATAAAACAGTGGAAAGTAAAATTTAACAACTCTTGATCTGCTCTGCTTTGGAACAAAGGGACGTTGAGATCCACATAAGATCTTGAAGAGCTGATTTTTTTTAAATTAAACTTTTTATTTTGAGATAATTGTAGGTCCACATTCAGCTTTAAGAAAAAAGAGAGATCTTGAGTACTCTTCACCCAGTTTCCCTCAATGCTAACATCTTGTAAAACTACAGTCTGACATCCCAGTCAGGATACTGATACTCATGTAGTCAAGATAAGAAGCAGTCCCATCACCACCCTAGTCCTATTTTTAACCTCTGTTTCGTTACAGCTAATTTAATTTTGAAAAAACAGGCTTCCTCTCGGCATGGTGGGAACAAATTCTTAGAACCAATCACAACATACTTACCCTTCTGCACCTTGGCACCATCTTAGTAAGAAGTGACTTGGGAAATTGACAGGTTCCAGGGGGACTCCCAACTGCCGGGCAATTGTCAAATACAGCAGAGACATGCTGATTGGGATTCCTGTTCTGCGGATCAAAACCTAAACCAGAAAAAAATGCATTTGGTTCAGAGATAGACATATGTTCTTATACTTTCAACAGACATGTCCATTGGGCATCTATGTTGTATCAGGCATGATGGTCAGCTCTGAGGCTTAAGTGGCCTGCCACCTGTCTTGATTCAGTCTTCACAAGAAGAGCTTTTACAATGCTATTCTTAATGGTTTAAAAAAAAAAAAAAAATTCAAAAAGATTAATATTTTGTGACACATGAGAATTAATTACATGAAATTCAAATTTCAGTGTCCATATATAGTTTTATGGGAGCATAGCCACGCTTGTTTGTTTTTGTATCGTCAGTGGCTGCTTTCACACTACAATGGCAGAACTGAGTAGTTATAAGTTACAACAGAAACCATATGGCCTGCAAAGCTGAAAGTTACTCTCTGGTCTTTTACAGATTTAGGTGCTCCCTCAGTCCCCGGATGGTGCAAATGGTTAATGCACTCAGCTGCTAACCAACAAGGTGGAGATTCAAGTCCACCCAGAGGCTCCTCAGAAAGGCCTAGTGATCCACTTCCAAAAAATCAGCCACTGAAAGCCCTATGGAGCGCAGTTCTACTCTGACACACATAACGTCACCATGAGCCAGAGTCAACTTGACAGCAACTCGTAGGTAACTGGTCTTCCAGAAGGTTAAGGCCACTTCAAGGAAAAGTGTGTTATATACGGCAAGATAAAATAAAAGTAGCAGAGACAGCCTCAGAGTAAATATGAAAAGGGGGCCAATTAGGCAGCAAATACAAAATAAATATGGAAGACGTGTAAACTGGATGTAGCTGGGCCACAGATTTCATCTCACTTTCCCAGAGCCAATGCAACAAGCAAAACCCGACCTGTCTCACATTTTAGTGCCCTTAAGAAACACACTGACTAAACTGAGTCAGAGAAATATCTACTTCTAGTCAGGAATTTACCTCAAGGGTTCTCATACCGGGAATATTCTGTGGTGAAACAGATAAAATCCTCAACAATATTCCCACAGTAGAGACAAAAAATGAGTTTTGATGTCCATACAGAGATGAGAAAGACATGGCACTTGCCCTCAAGAATGTACACTCTACCAGAGACGAGCTTAAAAACATATATACAGTAAAACCTGTCAGAGAAGGAAAACTCAGATATTTTCCACAAATAGAATGCAAGAAAAGTGGTAAGACTACACCCTGTCAAAGGTGGAAAACCTGCAAGACCAGGAAAAACAAGGCAGTTCTGTTGAGTTCCGGCTCTCACAGGTTTCACTGTATAAACACCCATTCATTCAACAATCTTAAGTAATGATGTGTTTTAGCATTGAAAAGGGTTAAAGCTTTACAACAAAGGACACTCTGAGTCTCTCTTTTTTTTTTTTTCTGGGTAAACAACTGAAAGGATAACCTGACTCATAACTTTGTACTTGTGCACTTTACTCTGGTTTACTGGGTTAGGTTATTTTAATTAGGTGAAAACTACCTTCTACCTCAAAGTCTTTGGAGAGATTCAAAAGTATATCATATGTACTACTCACAAATGCTGGACATAACAAATGACTTTCATTCTTTCATTCTGGTTTCTCGGCTGACGCGTGCTCTTCCCAAATTCAGGACATGGACATTTACCTGATGCATATATAAGTTCAGGGCATTGTAGTAATCCATTCGATTCCCCTTGAACTTGAGCTGATCGTAAAGGACATAGTTGATGGCATCCAGCACCTGGCTCTGGAGTTCTATCTCCATTATCATGGAGGATTCACCTGAAACACAGAGGTCTAGTCTGAGGACACAAGCAAACGCAAGGTGACTAGTGCCCCAAACCACCAGAATGTGCACACTGGCAATTTCCTCCCAATATTAATCAGGGGTTGCCAACCTAGGGAAGAGAAGAGTATATGTATTTATAGTCTTTTATATATATTATCCAGGGAAGGTGGCTGGTTATGTCATTAACCACTTTCTTCATAACATAATAGGAATGACACTATAGAATTTCCCAGAGTAACCAACTCCGCTCTCCTTTTCAAATACAGCTGGATCCGTAAACCATTCCACACCTGCCTTGAAGGCCAAACTGGGGTGGCGACTGTTTATGCCCCGGAGGGTTTTGCAAACAAGCTCTACAATGCTGTCAATCTGGGCCTGGATATCTTTGAGGCTGATGTCAGAGAGAGGGTTGCAGTACTGGTCAATATACACGGCACCTGAAAATGAACACACAACAAGAAGTATGGAATAAATTCTTATTCTTTGCTCTTAATAATCTACCCTTTCACCCCATACATCCTAGGCCATCCATGGCTCTTTACACCATCCCACCAGAAAAACCTCATGTTTTGGATGCCAGAACTTCCTGCTAACACAACGAGAAGGGACTATACAAATTTTCACAACAAAGGAGCTTCCACTTCACTTTTTTCTTTTTAAATGAACTGAAACTTCTCTCAGAAGTCATGGACTCAAAAAACTTCATGATCCATGGCATATCCCCATATTCTGTTACAAAGAGAAATAAATGCTATAGAGATCTTTTCAAGCTATGTCATTCTCTCCAGAACTCTTATAGCTCAAAATCCAACATTTCCAGAAACTTAATGGTGTAACATGTGATTTCAACTTTAAGTAGCTGAAATCACTCAATGACAAGATACGTCATTTCAACAAATTACACGTCTCAAGGGTGAAACAGTAAATGGACCTGAGACATAACCCTACTTTCAAAAGATAAACAGTTCCATTCAGGAAACTGCAGCTAAAAAGATGTTCAAAGCACACTGGAGACGTTTTCTACTGACAATCACCACCCTTCACCGCCTTATGTAATTTTTTTAACAAGTGACTGAGGGCTAACTTGATAGCTTGGTTACAGAATGTTTTCACTTGGAAGTCTACAGTCATCTTAAATTCACGAGGTCGCAAACCAATTTAGGATCATGACTCCCATACCACCACCCTAAGAGGCTGAAAGCGGCTGAATGGGGGTCAAGAGACCAGGGTCCCAGTCTCAACTCTGCCACTTACCAGCGACTGACTCCTGGGCCTTCCTGGACCCAAGTTTCCCCATCCGTACCAGTACCAAGTTTCCCTATCTATATCAGTACCAGTTGCCATCAAGTCAATTCCAACTCATAGGGACCCCGTGTGTGTTAAGAGTAGAACTGCGCTTCACAGAGCTCTCAGTGGCTGATTTTTCAGAAGTAGACTGCCAAGTCTTTCTTCCAAGGTCTCTCCGGGCAGACTCAAACCACCAACCTTCTAGTTAGCAGCTGAGCACATTAACCATTTACACCACTCAGGGACTCCTCCCCATCTGTAGGATGAGGGAATTTGTGCTGCACTTCTCCAAAGCCTATCTCCTACTAATACTATGATTTCTGGACTCCATCAAGGGCACTGGCTTTATTCTAGTCTGTCACCAAGGATCCAAACCCTGGAACCCGCTTTCATTCACTCAACTACTTAAAAACCTTCAGTGGCTTCCCAATGCCTACCACACTGATTTGGACAGGTTATTTAAAAATGATAATGTAACTATGTATTTGGAAAATGAAAATGAAGCATATGTTTTCATAAACAAGCTACAGAAAACAAAACCTGTGGAACTATTCTTGACTAGAATAAGAGAAGATACAATGATTCTCAACTCTAGCATGCATATGAGAGGCTTCCAGGTGGTGATGGTATTTTGTAGCCCTGGTGGCACAGTGGTTAAGAGCTTGGCTACTTAACCAAAAGGTCAGGAGTTCGAATTCACCAGCTGCTCCTTGGAAAACCTACTCGGTCCTATAGGGTTGCTATGAGTCAGAACTGACTCGACAGCAACGGGTTTGGTTTATGGGTTTTGAGGATATTTTTATTCTAATAAACTGGAGCCAATTTCCCATTTCCTTTTGGACAGCATTAGACTTTCATATCATCAACAAGAATCTGCACTAGGCATTGTGAGATAAACAGCCATTATTACCCCAAGCCTCTGCACACAAGAAAGCTAGTGACCAGCTGGAGAAGCAAAACGTACACACATGAAACAGAATGATGTAAGAGAGGTTACTACAAAGTGCTCCCGCAGTAGCTCCGAGGCCAGCTAGAGTTGTCAGTGAAAACTTAATTGAAGAAGCGAGACCTGAGCTGAACTCTGGAGGGTGAGGAGAACACTCCAGAGAGAATTATAAGGAAGAGAGCTGCTACAAGTGAGGATGTGGAGTTATTTATAGGGCTCAGTGAGGACGACGGCCTGGCTAGGACAAACGGAACGTTCTGGAGAGTAACGTGGGAGAGGTTTGGAGTTGGGGGTAAGACCAGATTATGGAGGGCATTGAAAAGCAGGCAGAGGTTTGGTGAGAAAAGGCAATCCATTGCCCACACTGCAAGTTTCACAGGGAGTGGTGGAAAAGCCGAGTTTCAGACAATATAGGCCATGGAGTGCTGGATGACCTGAAGAGGTGATGACCATGAAGGCATGTATTTACTCAGGAAGCTGTTGCAGGGAGAAGTGGCAATGGCCTGGATGAGAACAGTTAAATGAGAATGGAGACATGACTATGAGAAGCAATGTGAAGACGAAAATCAACAGATTTGGTAAATCACCAGGAAAAGGGAAGGAAAGTGACTGAAATGGAAATACCCTTACTTCATAACAATAAGTTACGGGAGTGTTTGTCTAATATTCTAGGAGTCAAAAATAGTTTAAAAAAATAATAAAAGAAGTCACATTTTGTTCCTATTCAACTTAGCAGAACAAAAAGTTATCTCCTTCATCTTACCTGTCTACTCAGCTTCATCCTACTCATTTCTTATCATGAGTGAGCAGACTCACTGAGGCACAAGAACATTTGGTCTTCATTAAACTTGAGCCCAAAGAGATTAAGGGATTTGCTCAAGGTCACATGGACACAGAACTGGATACATTTCTTTCTGGCTTGGAGATGATGCTTTGCAGTTTAGAAAAATAGGGAATTAACCTCATTAGCTGAAATATCAGTCTCATGTCCTGAACCAATAAAACACCTTTAGAAAATACTGTCTAAACCCTCAATGGGATGGACTGACAGGATAGTCGCAACGATCGGCCCAAACACAAGACACGATTATGAAGATGGCACAGGACTGGGCAGTGTTTTGTTCTGTTCTATGTAAGGTCACCATGAGTCAGAGCCGACTCCTCGGCAACTAACAACAAAAAAAATAACGATTTTGACAGAATCTAGCTGAAAAGTTAATAGACTACATAATACAACTTCCAGAGCCCAGGTAGCATAGTTTTTTTCCCCCTTGCTTTACCATCAGGGACAGTGTCTCCACTAGTGATCTTAAAGACTACTTAACGCTACTTATGGAAGGCTACTTATGGAAATAGTGTTGTCCATATGTATGGCAAACGACTCACCTTCGAGATACGATTCATAGTCATCAGGCTGCTGAAGAAAAGCCTTAAGATTATTTAAAATTTTCTGTTGTCGTAGGTAATAAAGAATTTTCTTTGCGTAGTATTTCCAGGTCAAAGCTTTTCTGTAAAAACAAACAAATAAACCAACAAACATTAAAAAACCGAGTAAGAATTAAGGTTAGGAAGTTTCAATTCTTTTTTTATTTCACACCAATAATACCATGTAAAGAGTCTACTGAACGAGAAAAACAGAACTGGTCCATGATCATACAGTACTTACTATGAAGTAAACAGCGCAACTTAGGATTTTGTATTTGTAATACAACACTAAATTAGTTGTACCGAAAACTGAAACCGTTGTCAACCTTCAGATTTACCTGCCTGTAACCTTTGGTAGAGGAGATGAGATCTTAATCACTGCCCTGATGGCACAGTGGTTACGTGCTCAGCTGCTAACCAAAAGGTTGGTGGTCTGAATCCACCAGCCGTTCCACAGGAGAAAAGACCTGGCGATCTTCTCCTGTAAAGATGTACAGCCTAGGAAACCCTATGGGGCAGTTCTACTCTGTCCTATAGAGTTGCTATGAGTTGGAATTGACTTGACAATAATGGGCTTGGTTTGGTAAAAGGAAATGGAAGAGAAGCCTGAAAAGTTACGTGAGCCGGGTGAATTTTAGGAGATGGCGGTAAAGTGTTTCAAATCCTTTGCTGATTCCTCTGGTTCCTTGGGGAGCTCAGGCGTTGCATGTCTTCTTTCCTCCTTCTATACTAACTGCCATGCTAACCTCATCTACTCTCATGGTTTCAAATATTATCCATATTGACAAGCCCCAATTCATTTTCCAGTCCAGATTCTCCCCTGCACTCCAGACCTGCATATCCAACTGCTACTCCATATCCCACCGGGGTATCTCGGGAGCACCTTAAACCTCCCCTTCCCAGTCATCTCCATCTCAGATAAAGGCAACTCCATCATTCTAATCAGGCCCCAAACTGGGAAGTCAGCCCTGACGCCTTGCTTTCTCTCACAATCCACATTCAATCCATCAGCCAATCCTATTAGCTCTACCTTCAAATTTTATCAAAAATGTGAATGCTTCTCACTACCGTCCTGCTACTGCCCTCATCCAAGCCACCATCATCTTTCGTCTGTATTACAGCGACATCCTCCTAACTGGGCTTCCTGCTTCAGAGCTTGTCCCACTGCCATCTATTCTCAATATGGCAGCCAGAGCGCTCCAGTTAAAATGTTAAATCAGGTCACACTCTCCTCTGCTTCAAATTCTCCAATGGTTTTCCACCTTGATCAAAGTAAAAGCCGAAGATCTAAGGATGACCTCTAAACGGCCCTTCAAACTCTTGCCCCGTTACCTCCCTCACCTGAATTCCTATTATGCCCTTAGGCCAGCCATTCGAGTCACACTGGCTTCCCAGCTGTTCTGTCAACACGCCTGGCTAGTGCTTACCTTATGCTTTTGCACTGTCTGCTCTCTCTGCTTGGAACACTCTTTCCCTGGAGATCTGCAGTCTGTTTCCTCACCTCCCTTTAGGTTTCATCTCAAATGTCAAGTTGAATAAGGCCCTCCTACCCTATTTAATATTGCACCCACCCCCTGTCCCCTTCCCTGATTATTATTTCTCTATACCATTTACCATTTTCCAGCACGATATATTTTATTTATTGTGCTTAGTTCCTATCACCCCCACAGAATGTATGCTCCACGAGGGCAGGGTTCTTTGTATTGTTCACTGCTGTGCCCCCAAGGGAAGCCTGCAACAGGCGCTCAATAAATACTGCTGAGAGAATTAAATCTTTTCCTAGGTCTCCCAAAACTACATGGGGATTATGGGAAGCAGGAGGGAGACAGTGAGTAATTGATCTGCCTGACTTCATAAAGAAACCAAGGACTCCACTCTTCAGGAAGGAAAAAGAAAACCAGCAGAGCTATGTTTTGCCTCCTTTTCAATCTATGCATTGCAGCCACCCTTGTATCCATCGCTCAGGCCAAGAAACAGAACTTTATGGATATCCCAGAAGCCCTCTATGGGCCCTGTCCTGACCTCTAGTCATCTCAACCCACATTTCTGTGGTAATCACTTCCTTGAGTTTCCTTATGTTTTTATCACCAAATGTGTATCCCTAAACACTCAAGACCAGTCTGTTTCAATGTCTTTCACGTCTCTTAATCTACAGGATCCCCGTCTTTGCTTTATTCCCTCTGCACTTTGAGGAAACCAGGTTGTTTGACCTGTAGCTGCTCACAGTTGGGAATTGCTGATTGCATCCACATGGCGCAGGTTAACATGTTCCTGTCTTCTGAATTTCCTGCAAATTGGATGTAGAGGCTTGATTAGACTCACAGTGCATTATCTGGCAAGAGACTTCACAGGTGGTAGTGTGCTCTTCATCAGTCTTCCAATAACGCCCGATTGTCTCTACTTGCGATGCTAGCAGCCACTGCTACTCACCGCTGAAGTCCACTAATTGGTTTGGGGTTACAAAGTGGTGACGGTCTAAATAAATCATTCCTCCTTCATTCATTAGCTGGAATACCTCTATAAAGTGAAACTTCCTCTATCTACTCTTTGGTCCCCTGGTGGTATAGTACAGAAGGGCAGCATAAATGCTCATCTCTTTCCTTTTATTGGTCATTTTTCAAAAGAAGGATTCGGGTTCCTATTATCTTCCAAAGGCAACCAATAGTTGCTACTGTTTTAAATATCATTATGAACTCACAGAGTTAAATATATTTGATGTGTTTCAATCCATTCCAATTATTCACAGTGACATTCAACTTGTCACAACTTTGCCAATGGAAGCCTCTTCATGTTGGACCCTAAATACTGATGATGTAAACTTCTGGTAGCTTCCCTGTTATCTGGTGTTAACAAAATGATCCAGGCTCATCTTTTACAATTCTTACCCAGGACCTAGAATCAATCATTTCTCTAAAATCACTGGCTTCTTTCTGTGGGAAATGGTATATTAAGACCACAATTTGGTTGTTAGTGATGATCATTTCTAATGGGTTGGTTACTGTTTCTAGACATTTTCAGTGGACAGAGCTACTAAGTCTGTGTGTATACACATATACATAATACACCTATATGCATTATTTATATAATACATTATACACGTATTATATTTAAAAGGAGCCCTGCAACACAGATAGTAGCTTTTAAATGAGAAACTATTTTGTTCTGTAAGCCTTCATCTTAAGTGAGAATAGCAGCACAATTGGAAGAGTATAATCAGTGTCACTGAACTGTGCATGCAGAAATTTTTGAAATGGTGTATCTTTGGCTATGTGTATTTTCACCAAAAAAAAAAGGTTGAGAAGATAGAGGATTGACACGTTGTGGGGTTGTTAACCAATGTCATAAAACAATATGTGTACTACTGTTTCATGAGAAACTATTTGTTCTGTAAGCTTTCACCTGAAGTACAAAAAAAAAAAAAAAAAAAGGAGCCCTAGCAGCACAGTGGTTAAGCGCTCGGCCGCTAACTGAAAGGTTGGTGGTTCGAACCCACCAGCTGCTCCTGTAAAGATTACATACAGCCTTGGAAACCCTACAGGGCAGTTCTACTCTATCCTATACAGTCACTGTGAGTTGGAATCGACTCGATGGCAATGGGTTTGGTTATTACATTCAAAGATGAAATACCTCATGAGTTCATACTGATACAATTTAAATCCAGAACTACATGGCTTTTACCTTCTTCTGTCTTATATCTATACTGTCTTTCTTCCAGAACCCTGGTTCTCCTAGGATACCAGAGGTGACAGAAGTAGACTATCACATAATTACTCATTTGCTTAATTCCACATCTCTCTTTCTCTCACACACACACACACACACACGTTTCAGAATAACAAGATCAATATTTTCATTATCTTTATGATTCCTGAAAACACCTAAATATTTTGTACGTCCATCCCATTCTCTGCTCATTCTTAAAACAATGGTACTGTATCTACATTATTAGAGCTACAGCCAATACATCCAATACTTTCTCCCCTACAGCCCTCATTTAGATTTAATTCTACAATATATATTTAATGCGCACCAATCCTAATGTCAATGTCTCTCTGGTTATTTTGGTTGTTTGAGGCTCACAGTCTAACAGACTGCTCCAGAAGAGCTCAAGAGTCCCCCAGGTCTTGCAAGTTGGTAAGCTTGTCTGCGGCCTTTATACTGGGAAGTCAGTTTGGCTGGATATAAAAATACTTGGCTGTCATTTCTGAGTCTAGAGTATCTTAAATGTGTTACTCCGTTTTCCTCTGGTATGAGTTGGAATTGACTTGACAATAATGGGTACGGGTTCAGTACAGATTTGACTTCTTGGAAACCCTGGTGGCGTAGTGGTTAAGCGCTGTCTGTGGCTGCTAACCAAAAGGCTGGCAGTTCAAATCCACCAGGCGCTCCTTGGAAACTATGGGGCAGTCCTACTCCGTCCTATAAGGTCGCCAGGAGTTGGAATCGACTTGATGGCAATGGGTGTTTTTTTTTTTTTTTTTGGTTTTATAGAGCATTGCTACTAAAAAGTTGGATAAAATCCTGATTTTCTTTCCCTTATGAATGACATCATCTTTTTTGCTTGGATGCTCAAAGAATTTTTCTGTACTGATTAAAAGTCAGTCATTTTACCAGAATCTGTCTCAGTTTGGGTCATTTTGGGCCAATTTTCTCAGGTACAGCAGACGTCCTTTCAATCTTTATTGTAGGATGTACTAATTTTTAAGATCACATAGAACACCATATAGGCAAATAGTTTTCAAATATCCAGGGACAGGAGCTTTAGCAATTAGGGAAACTATGTTTCTTGTTTCTATGCTTTCCATATGCAAACAACAAGCATTTTCGAGGAGTGAATACAATGAGGGTCCTTCATGAAACCGGCACCCCAAAATGATTACAAATATGAGAGCATTCCCTGTCATTTATAAATAACCCTGTTTTGTTGTTCAGGCCAAAGGGTAACATGTTTATATTTATTGCTAAAAGGACTGTAACAATGTATCTTGTTACTGGCTATGTATAGTCAGTCTCCTTTTTTTTGCCAATCTGATAGGTAAAAAAGCAGTGTTTCACTGTTACTTAACATTTTTTTGAACAGAGAATTTAATGGTCTTTTACATGATTGCTAGCCACTTGGATTTGCTCTTCTGGATGTCATTCTCCTATCCTTTGCACATCACTCCCTCTTAGAAATTTTAAGAGTTCCACTGACTTTGTTAAGGAGGCCTCCTCAGATTGTACACGAAGTCGCCTATTTTCTTGCAAAACTTCCATTGCGATAATTCTTAAATTTAAGTTGTTTAATCCTTGGGAATTTAATTGTTTGTACATGATGCAAATTTTACTTTCTTCCAGATGGACAGTCAGTTATGACCAGTAAAACCAAAAACAAAATCCATTGCTGTCAAGTTGATTCCGACTTACAGTGACTCTGTAGGACAGAGGAGAACTGTCCCATGGGGTTTCCAAAGAGCGGCTGGTGGATTCAAACTGCCGAACTTTTGGTTAGCATCCAGGCTCTTAACCAACTGTGCCACCAGGGCTCCATATGCCCAGTACCATTTTATTAAATAATCCATCTCTTCCCCTCTGAGTTTAAACATACTATGTTTCATTCTGGGACGTTTTTCTGAATTATCCCCTTTGAAACTGATGTGGTGATTTTTATTTAAATATTACATTGTTTTGATTATAGGAGCTTTATAACGTCTTTATGTCCTCATATCTAGTGATGCAAGCTCCCCATTACGATTATAAAGAAAAAAAACTTCTCTTGGCTCTTCTTGAAAATTCATTCTTCTGTATACATTTTAAGACAAAATTATCCAAGTAAACCACCCAAACCCTTACTCCCCAAAAAAATCCTTGCTGGGGTCCTAATTGTAATGACATTCGATTTATGTATTAATTTTGGAAGAACTGACATTTTTAACCTTCCCATTCGAGGACATGCTATGTCTTATTTCAAGTTCTTCAATAACATCCTATAATCTGCTAGGAAACCCACTCCTAGGAATCTATTACTTAGAAATGAAACTACTAGAAACACTGCCGTTCACAAAATGAGGAAAAAAGTAAACGCCCTTCAATAACAGAATGGTTAAATAAATTATGGTATATACTAACAAACAGTATGTAGGCATTAACAAAAACTGATTCGAATTTTACCAGTTGATCAGATTTCAAGAAGGTAATGTTGAATTAGGAAAAAATAAAAAGATACAGAAAAGTACCTATTATATGATCTCGATTTTGTGAAATAATGACCCCCCCCCATTCCCATATGTATCAGTGTATATCAGCATGGAAGAACATAACCTAGGTCGTTATCAAGAGTTACAGGGGTGGGGGCAGGGGAGGCCAACACAAATGGAGAGAGAAGGGAGAAAGGAAGAAACTGCATAAGAAACAATAGTCTGTACTAAACATCGAACCAAAACAATCAACAAACCCAGTATGTAGAGAACCACACTTAGGTATTTAAAAGTATATATGAATATATGTAAAAAAGACAAGTCAGCTTTTATTTTTAAGGCTGCACAATACTGACTATTAGATCATACTTCAATTCATTTATAGATAAACCAAAATAGAAATGGAAAAATGACCTCTACCTCTGCACTCATCCAAGGCCTAGAAGAGTGACACATCTTATCTCCCCCAACAGCTTTTCCACCAATATATATTTCTCTCCCCTACACCCTCTTAAACACAATAATAAAAACATTTTATCCCTGTTTGTGAGGTATTTCACAACATTTTTTTTTTTTTTTACTAAATAACATTTTATTGTGTTTTTGGTGAAAGTTTACACAGCAAGCTACATTGCCCTTTGATAATTTCTACACGAAATGACCAATGACATTAGTCACACTTTTCATTGTGTCAGCATTCTCTTTAATTGTGTTCTGGTTGTTCCGTTTCCAGTACTCTAGTTTCCCTGCCCACTTATCTTCTCATCTCTGCTGTGAATTAAATGTTGGCCTTTCGGACTCATACAGGTTTGTTTTTTGGTTTTGTTTTTGTTTTAAGTAGAGCACCGATCTAACAGGTAATACCCTTTATTTTGTGTGTCACTCTGCTTTTCTGCTGAAACATCATCTCGGGATAGTTTTGGTTCAAAGTTTAAGGAGTGCACAATGATCTCAAGTAAGATGCTAAACTAGTCTTCTGATGATCTTGCATCACTGGTACAGTTTTCAGAACTTTAGAGGAGAAAATCTTTTTTCAAAGGTAAGCTAAGCTGAAAGCCATGTCATCTTTCAGGTAACCTGGAAATTAACCCTCACAGCCACAAATATGAGGCATAAACAATTTTAAGCAACAATAAAGAGACAACGGATGCCTCCTCATCAGGAGAGTACCGATGTAATACTGTCTACTGACTGGGAGATGAAAGAAAGGTTCGACCCAATGTCTACAATGTTCATGGCCAAAGGAAGATTATCTTTTACCAAAATTTAGAAATCAAGGAAAAAAAAACAAAAACCACTCATTAAATTAAAACATGCCTAAGAAATTATTTTAAAAACAATAAGAAAGATTAAATTTATGACAGGTAAATTTGGTGGTGATAGACGGAGAGGTGACAGTAAAGGAAAACCTGTTGCTATCTGATCAATTCCTACTCATAGTGACCCTAAAGGACAGAGCAGAACAGCCCCACAGGGTTTCCTAGGCTGTAATCTTTATGGAAGCAGACTGCCACATCTTTCTCCTGCGGAGCAGCTGGTGGGTTTGAACTGCCAACCTTTCGGTCAGCAGCCAAGCACTGAACCACGGTGCCACTAGGGCTCTTACTGATATTAAAGGAGAATCTGCATTACCCAAAGTTTCCTAAATGACTTGACCAGGAGTATGGGCTAAATATCAATTGCCTTTTCTTTCCAAAATAATTTTTGCAAAGTTTCTTTAAATATCAATTTCCTTGGTCTATTTACCTTATATACACAAAACTTTAAAAAAAAGTAAATATGGCAAGGCATGAAATATTTTGAAATACATTTCCCAGGGTTCAGCCACATACAAATTCATTATTAAAACAAATGAACAAACGAATTCCTGCTAAAGCTGTGGCTTACCTTCCTTCCATATTTAGGATACACACCAGCTCATCCTCAAAAAATATCTCTGGTCCCTCAAGGTTCTCAATGTCACTGAAACCATTACAAGGGACCTATGAAGAAGACAAAGAGGCCTCAATACTGAGTAATGATTTAGTGTCACTCACACACAAATCTGAGTTGCAAACAAAGATGCTCACTTTTACAAACAGGAAATAGGTGTCCTACACTATCTTGCACCACCTCCTACACTTCACATGGAAAATAATAATTTATTCAGATCTTGTTAATTGAAAATTAACTATGTTTTCACAGACTGGAATTCCTGAAACTGGTAACTGGGAGTTTTAAGGTGAATAAACATAAAATCTCAAAATTCAAGGTAACTATTTCATGCTTTCTACACTGTAGTCAACGAGGGTAGGGCCAGAGAGATTAATAGTGCTTGGCAGAACTCCCTTAACATTGTTTCCTCCTTTGTAAATTGAGGTGCTATTACAAATGAGCTGGAAGAGTCCCTCAGTTCAATATTCTATTACTTCTAACACTTTTCTTTTTGAAAGTAGGCAGGAAATTTCAGATCAACCTGTGTGCATGCTGAGTACACAAGAACACAAGGGTCCTGAGCCACAGTAATCACCCACCCACAGATCAGTTTTAAGCGTACTCCTGCTATGTTCAAAGTCCTTGCTTCAGGGCTAATGATAATGATAATTCATCATCATCAGAGAAAGGCAAAGACTGTTAAAAAATGTACACAAAACCAGCTGGACAAGAAGTTGAGGTTGCAAACTAGTAGCCCATGACCAAGTGCATCAAACATACCCAAAAAAAAAACAAACAAACAAAAAAAAAACCAAACTGGTGGTCGAGGAGTTGATTCCAACTCATAGCGACCCGACAGGACAGACTAGAACTTCCCCATAGGGTTTCCAAGGAGCGCCTGGTGGATTCGAACTGCTGATGTTTTGGTTAGCAGCCGTAGCACTTAACCACTATACCACCAGGGTTTCCGTGCATCAAACATATAGCACCAAAATACATGTGTGCACAAATCCATTTAACCCAGAATTTAAATTTCTGATTATGAATGCCTTCAGCCAGGTCATGACCTCTCCAAAGCAGAACTAAATTTTGTTCATTCTAATATTAATCAACGTTTATTTATAGAAATGAATTTTACCAGAAAGTATCTATTTTTATTCTCCATGGGGAAAGTTAAAATTTGTCCAAAGTTCAAATTTTCCCTTTCAAAACTTGAAATCTTTAAAACATTTCAAATTTATGAACTCAATTAGCAGTAATAAAAAATTAGAAAATAGGAATTAATCTTCAGTAAACCAGGATAGTAAAATAAATTAGATTGGCTCTATGTCTAGACCCCAGATTGAAATGAACTAGCTAATATTTTGGTGAATTTATAATATTACTGTGGGCTATTTTCCTGAGTTACAAAAAGGTATGAGTTGGGAGAAATTCCATGAGATATTTTGAGGAATGGGGGGAAAAAACAACAAAAACCATGCATTTCAGCAATTTAAAAAAAAAAAACTTCAAAGGGATAATGAATGCGAGATAGTTTTACTGCAGGAGTAATAACTCTGATTTATGTATAGCTTTTAATCCTTCTGTTACTTTAAACAAACAACGCAGTTCACTACCGGTTAGAATCTGCAAAGCCAGACAGAAGAATCAAATTAATTTCATCAACCCTTCTGAGAAAACAATTGGTGGAAATCTGTAGTGTGCAATCATTGATCTCCCAAATCAGGAGTAGACTGCAAAAAACATGTTCAACCCCTCTGAAGAGAAATATCGCCAATCTGGAGTCCCTTCACATTGTGCTTCTTATCTCCCTCTCTACCACCACCACCCCCATTCTCCCTCTGGCTTTAGAAAAGTAATGCTTTTCTAAAGCGTGGACAAATGACTTCACATTGGTGGATAGCAGGAAAAGCACACAACGACTCTTGGTAGCCATCTGAGTCCCAGCTTGTGAGAGCTGAAAAGGGAGATAATCAAAAAGAACTGGATGAGCTAATTCCTACAGACCCAGACATACAGGACTACCAGGCAAAGGCTTAGCGCTCCATCAACGGATCCTTACGTGCTCTGAAAAGAACCTCTTTGAAAATGAGGCTACAATCTTCCGGGCTTCTAACCCTGCTTTCTGCCGAACTTTATATTCCTCCAACCAATTGACGTAGTCGGTGGGGCTGTAGTGTTTCATAAGGGAAGGCCACCTACAAGGAGAGAAATACCCTCTCAGCTTAACAGAGACTTGAGATTTCAAAGGCAGGCCGACATGAATCAAAGGCAGCCTTGGGAAACACGGCGGTAGCAGTATGGGTTAGTAATGATAAGAAGGGGCCTTGGAGATGGCCCTAATTCAAATCTCCACCGGGCACGCACGCAGGCACTCACTCACGGTGTGACCTTGGAGAAGTGACATCAATGTTGTCTCCACTCCCCATCTATAAAATGGGGACAACCGTAGCAACAATAATAACAACGATTAACATGTACTGGGCGCTTTCTAAGAGCTGGGCCCTATGTAAGTGCTTCCCACACATCATCTCATTTAGTAACCACAGTTAAAAGGAGGTCTCACTATCGCCATTCAAAAGTCCAAGAATAAGGCTCATAAAAAGGGAAGTCGCTTCCCCCAAGGTCATTAGCGAGTAAGTGGCAGGGCCGAGATTTTATCTTGGGTCCAACACTGAAATCTGCTCTCAACAGCAACCAGGGGATGCTGCGCCCGCTTCCTCAATGGGCTGTTAGGATCACTGCGCTCCTCCATACATGTAAACATTTTAGTACAGACTCGCGCACAAAAGAAGCGCGCAAACTAGATTAGCGAAGACACGACCATCGTCATCCCTTATGAAGTGCCCGTCTGCTGGCCCTTCCAGATGCGCAATTTGGGCACTCGAGAGTCTGCAGCGGAGTAAACCCGCGGGGCTAGCGGCCTGGAGGCCTTTGTTTGTCTGTCCGTCCGCGGGAACGAGTCCGGGGGTGGGGTCCTGGTGTGGTGGCCGCGGGACGGAGGGGGCGGCTTAGGCCCGGCAGGCCCAGGGAACTGGGGGTGCAGAGCGGGGACTGCGGGGCGCGGGCTCGGGGACGCGGGGAGGGTCGTGGCGCCCGGAGGCGGGGCCGGGGCGGGCTGGCGGCCGGGGCCGTGGGCTCACCTCACCCGGAACTGCTCCTTCCACACCTTCCCGCTACTCTGGCATAGCTCGCGCAGCCGCCGGCAGGTGCTGGAGACGCGGCCGATGTCGGCGGCCGTCAGCGAGCCGCTGCACAGTATGTACTCTAGCACCTCGCCGGGAAGGTTGACCAGGCAGCTGAGTCCCGCCGTGTCCGGCGCGGCCTCCTCCGCCAGCGCCGGCACCACCTCCATCGCGCTGTCGACCGCTGCCGCCGCCATCTTGTCCGCGTACCTGGGGCCGCAGCGCGCGCACGCCGGGGGTACCCCGCTTCGCCCCGCCCACCCGCTTCAAGGGGCGGGCTCCAAGGTCGCCCCGCCCACACGTGACCACACCCCCGGCCCCCGCGCGACTCTGGATGGCAGGAGCGCAGCGAAGGAAGTGCTTTTGGGAAAACTGTCCAGTGTGTCCAGGAGCCGTGAAGGGTCTACGCCTCTTTTCGGGGGCAATAATACTAGCAGCCATCTTTCTTATGTATGCCAAACACTTCCTGTACATTAGCTCATTGGACCTTCCCAACAACCATGTTGTTGTTGGGTGCTGTCAGGGAGGATTCCGACTCATGGGGACCCCATGTGACAGAGGAGAACTGCCCCATAGGGTTTCCTAGATTATAACCTTTACAGAGCAGATCGCCAGGTCTCTCTCCCGTGGAGCGACTGGTGGATTGAACAGCTGACCTTTTAGTTGCAGCTAAAGGCTTAACCATTGCACCACCAGGGCTCCTTGTTCCAACGGCCGCTTGAACTATTATCCCTCACCCCAAATTACTGATGCAGAAACTGAGGCTTAAGGAGGTAAACAGGTTGCCTGGGGTCCCTTTTTCTGGATTCTAATCCAGATCGGCTTGACTTCTGCTTTATTGTGCTCTTAACCGGTATGCTGTAATAATACATTACTGAGTCGGTGCTATGCCAAGCACTTCACATATATATTTTCAAGGGCTCCTCATTCGAACCTATATGATAGGTACCTTAATTATACCCATTCTACAGATAAGGAAAACAAGACTCATAATGGAGGTCACTGGCTCCAAGTCAGAGACAAAAAGTTGTAGAGCCTGGGTTTCAACCCTGAAAGCAGAAGTTACCACTCAGGTGTAGGTAGGTACTCTGCTCAGTGCCTATACCTTTTTTCTTTGTACTTCAATTCAGTTCAACGCCAGGCCCTGTGCTGTGTGTCTTGGGGATACTGAGGTAAGACAGAGTCCTTCACCGCAGGAGCTCAAGGTCCAATTAGGGAGGACAAGCAGCGGTTAGAAGCCCTGCCCTATAGGACCCACCCAATAGAACTGTCCCATAGGGTTTTCTAGGCTGTAGTCTTTATAGGAGCAAATTGACAGGTCTTTTCTAGAGCTGCTGGCTAGGTTCGAACCGCCAACCTTTTGGTTAGCAGCAGAGTGCTTAACCGTTGCACCACCAGGGTTCCTTCCTCTTCCTCTAGGCCTCAGCTTAACCTCCCCAGATGTCCCCCCTTCCCTCACGCAGCCCCAGGACCAGATACGGCTCCTTTCCAGCACGTTGCAGTCGTATGATTGAACTATGAAGCATGTTCCTCATGCATGTTATTATTTTATAGACCTGTCTAGTCTTTGGCGAAGGGTGAACTTCAGGAGTGACTTCGTTACTGAGTTAAAAGGGTGTCTGGGGGCCATACTCTCAGGGTTTCTCTAGAAAGGCAGTCATGTAATTATTTACTCAACTATTTATAACTATTTGTTCAACGTGCATCTTTCCCACCTGGATCAGAATCGATTTCAGAATCAAAACCATGTCTGTTTGAAACACCTCTGGGCACAGGGATGGCACATACATCGCAGATTCTCAATAATCATCTGTTGATTGCGTTTGTCTAACCAGCTGTGTGACTAGAGCAAGTTACTTAGCCTTTCTTAGGCTCAGTTTCCTCATCTGTAAAATGGGGATACTAATTAGTATCCCCAATTGTTGTATGCCATCGAGTTAATTCGATTCCTACTCATAGCGACCCTATAGAACAGAGTAGAACTGCCCCATAGGGTTTCCAAGGAGCAGTTGGTGGATTCAAACTGCTGATCTTTTGGTTAGCAGCCTGAGCTCTTAACCACTTCGCCACCAGGGCTCCGTCCCCAATTAGTATCCTCATTTTACAGATGAGGAAACTGAGCCAGGTGGCACAGTGGTTAAGCGCTCAGCTGCTAACCGAAAGGTCAGCCAATCGAACCCATCAGCAGCTCCATGGGAGAAAGGCATGGCAGTCACCTTCCATAAAAATCACAACCTTGGAAACCCTACAGGCAGCTCCACTCTGTGTTGTAAGGTCACTATGCGTTTGAATTCGACTCCACAGCAATAGGTAATAATGTCTGCCCCCTGGGGCTGTTGTGAGGATTAAATGAGTAAATGAACATATAATATGTAGAACAGTGCCTGGCACAGAGAAAGTGCTCAATAACAGTGTGTTACGGGGAAATGGGGAGAAAGTGCTTAATGGGTACTGGGTTTTATTATTTATTTATTGTGCTTTAGGTGAAAGTTTACAGAGCAAATTAGTTTCTCATTAAACCATACACAAATTGTTTTGTGACATTGGTTGCCAAACCCTCGATGTGTTAACACTCTCCCCTTCTCCACCTTGAGTTCCCCATTTCCATTCATCCAGTTTTCCTGGCCCTTCCTGACTTCTCATCTTTGCTTTTGGACTGGTGTGCCCAACTCGTATAGATGATTGAACTACAAAGCACATTCCTCTAGTGTGTTATTGTCTGTTTTATAGACCTGTCTCATCTTTGGCTAAGGGTGGACTCCAGGAGTGACTTTAGCACTGAGTTAAAAGGGTGTCTGGGGGCCATACTCTCAGAGTTTCTCCAGACTCTGTCTGACCAGTAAGTCTGGTCTTT